GTCCAATTTTGGTATTCTGATATCTGATTGGGTAATGTTATATAATATGCTCGCTCATTTTAACTTTTTAAGCAATTAGGTCAAAACCGCTGAGCTCTATTTTTATCTGTAAAATTCCAAACAGTTTCTCTCTAATGGGGGAAAATACCAATATCTTTGTCTGCTACTTTTGACACAATGTCCCTGTAATCAGTCTTATCAAATCATGATCCATCATCATTCATCGTCCATCCTTCAAGCCAATGACAACCAACTGGTGGCCCGCGGGCCAAATCTGGCCCACCAAATTGTACAATATGGACCGCAACTGGATTCCAATATAAACTAAACTGCTTACTTTTGACACGATGTCCCCCAGACTAATTTACGATAAGAAACAAATGGATTCCATCGCCAACCTAAATCTCAACATACGTCAAACAGCTATTCTGTCTGTATTTGTTGTTTAATTAATGTATAATAATAAATACACAATTTATTTATTACAATTTATTTACCTTTAACATGTTTCAGCCCTGGAATTGTCTGATCTTTATCTGTTATTTTTAAATTTAGTTTCTATTCAGGCATTTTTTTTAAATGAATTTAATGAAAATAGTTTTCTTCCCATTAACTTTTTCAAGGTTAAGTAGTGTCTCACTGCATCTGTGTATCATCTGTGTATCATAATTATATTCCTTTGTTTATACAAAGTGTTAAACTCAAGGCCTGGGGTCCAAATGTGGCCCACAAAGTCATCTTGTATGGCCCTTACACAGCGATGAACAATATTTGTAACTTGAATAAATAATAATCAATTGCAAAAACATTAATACGTTATGGAGTAGTAACATCTATACAGCCTTCAAGGGGAACTGTAGTGCTGATGTGGCCCCCTGGTGGAAATGAGTTTGACACCCTTGATCTATACCTTCCGTGAACCTTCCGTACCAGTCTGTCTTTGTTCCTACAGTACCATTCTGTGAGCCAGTCTCCTAGTAGTTTTTTTGAGCGTCACAAGCTAAGTTCCAAGTTTGTGTTTAGTTCCCCCTTTCACCAATACGAACTAGTGAATGTGTTCAGAGTTGCCTCGTGTTACGAAGGAACATGACCAAGGTCAGAAACACGGGGGGAAAAAAGATGTGATCATTCGACTGTGTAAGCAGCATCTCCCCCCTCAGCGTATTTCTTTCTCTCACTCTCAATGGTGCCACTTCACTCTTCAACTCCCGTTATTTTTCTTGGGAATTCTTCGCTGGGTATGTCCAAGATTTGTCTTGGGTGGTTTTCTTTAAATCCGAGCCATTTATGGACAAAAATAAACTTTCATCTGGCCTAACTTAGGCCAAGACAAACTCCTAAATGAAAAAGGTGCTGGTGGATCAACGCAGGAAAACATTCGTTTTCCTGGTCAGAAACAGAAGTTTCACAGTTACACAGTTGCTTGTCCAATTATTGGAGGAAGTAACTACGGCTGACAGCCCTGCACTCGGCCTCGCTTCTTTCGGAACGTTCGGGTAGGTTGTTATGGATACAAATGGACACAGAGTTTGAACTGTGTCGCAGTGGAGTAACAAAACGGTGGAGATTGTTTTATCTTTTACAACTATGTATTCAAAGTTTGAAAGTAAGAATGACAGGCCGAGACAAAAGGATTGCAGTTCAGAACTAACAAAGATAAGAACTTTAAGGCAGTGTTTCCCAAACCTTTTTTTCTGGGGAACCATATTTTAAAAGTCACAAAACTTCGTGGCCCAAGTCAATAGACATTATTCGTAAACTCCTGGGAAACATGATGCGAGACGACCCAAAGAAACCCTCCTCTTGCGACCCACCTGAGGGTTGCGACCCAGTCTTTGGGAAACAATGCTTTAAGGAGTTGATCTGAGTGACCGTAGTAGAAAAGAACATCAGACTCAGGGATCACGCTGTTAGACCGTGACGCTCACATTGACAGTCAGAGGTGCAGTAACAAAGTCATTCATCTCTGCTTCTCTTCTTACGTAAGTCCCTGGTGGTCTAGTGGTTAGGATTCGGCGCTCTCACCGCCGCGGCCCGGGTTCGATTCCCGGTCAGGGAATGCACTTTTTCGGTTATATAGTGGAAGTGGGTTAGCATGCCTGTTAGGAGCAGCCTGTTAACACAATAATTCAATTTGCGATCAAGAAAGTTTAATTAAAAAAAAAAAAATGTAAGCAACTGTGTTTCGAGCCTGTCCTGCTATTTTGAATCCATTTAAGCAACTGTTTTTTGAGCCTGTCCCGCTATTTTGAATCAGCAAGCAACTCTGTGTGTTCTGTGTTAAAACATGATTTTTAATAGCAACAGTTTTCTGTTCTATTTCATTACGCTTATTTAATTAATTTGACGTCTTAAATCTAATATTCCGAACAGTACAACAAGGTTTTTAAAAATCAGGGTGAGGGCGCCGAATCCTAACCACTAGACCACCAGGGACTTGAAAGTGCTCTACAGCTTTTGCAGAATGGTTCACAGTGCCATCTATTGGAGAGGCCTGGAATTCTGGCAGAACACTCCATTGCTGTGAGAAAGCCAGTAGTAACTTTAGGTTTTCTTTACAAAATGGTCTTCAAATTATTAAATTATCATTACATTAATATTTAAAAAATATTAATCGGCGGATTTTTTTTTCAAAGAAATAATAAAAAAAATAAGAGCTGAGCATGTCTACAACAGAAAAGTCAAGCCGTATATATGGTAATAATGGCGCAGTAATACATTCAGGTCAGTGTGTGTTTCTACTGTATGAGTGTATGTTCTGCTTAAATCCAGACTGATTTTCATATGTTTAACGAGAGCCTAACAGATGACAATTGTTTTGCAGGTAAATGCTAACGCTAACATCGTGTGAACAGTGTCTCATTGTGTCGGTCGAACTTCCCCCTAAGATAACTCAGACACGTGCTCTAACAACACTGTGACTTAGAGGGGCTGCTGCCCACATCTTTAAGCCATATACTGTATGTGGTGGCTGAGTGAATGCGAATGATTGAAAAGATCAACCAAGTGTAAGTGCTGAATGTTTTCAGGAGAGCAGATGAGCAGTCACAGATGTGGAGTCAGTTAAAGACCGCACTTACACTGTAGCACATTCTTGGCACAATTCTTCTTCTTCTTCCAAAAAAAAAAAAAAAAAAAAAAAAGTGCTTTGACTTTTGTGAATGTTTTCAACCTAATATTACACAACCAAAAACCAAACACTGTGTTGTACATTTATTGGTATAAATAACAATGTGTGTCCCACCTTGTAAGTTCACTTAACAGGCCATCGGAGATTACCCCCGGCCAATAAATGTTTTGGACCACAACCATCTCTTTTCACATCTGCTCTCAAACTTGTGTTCTCTTTTCTTTGACCTTGGATGTCCTCCTCCATTTGTTACACTGACCTGACCATTAGAGAAATTAATCTGCGAGCTAAAGCCCCAGCCCACGAAGCTTTGTAGATACATCTGTGTTCTGTTTTAGTGATTGGTCATCTCTCAGAAAAAGCAGCTGGACAGCTCCGGGGGGAAGACCCCTGCCATGTTATCCGAGGCATTAAATGAAAAAGGTGGGGGAGGAGAGTCAGGGCAGAAGGAAAAAAAAACTCCCAGATACTGAGCGCGGTCACCGGGTGGCAGAAGTGGTACTGGAGCGGTGCCAAGTCCGGGAAGGATAGGAGGAGTCACACGGCTGTGTCAGGACCTAAATCGACAATGTGTTAATTCCAGCTGTTTAAAATAAGATGTCGCGCATTAAGGCGGGATCAGAGGTTGATGGATGAGGCTTTGATGGGATCTGTCAGCTCTATGTGACGCGGATTGTGCGTCTAGCGCAAACTTCTTGTGGGAAAAAATAAATAAATTTTTTTGGTTGATGTGCTTGGTAAAATACCAAACATCAGAGGGCGACGTGGGACCTGTTTACTTGACATTACACAGGATGATTGACGGATTCAGGTGAGGCGTTCAAATGAGCCTGAATGTAACGTCAAGTGCTGCCTATGACCTGTTGGGCCAGGGAGGGAGTGCATCACAACACAGTTCATTTTCACCACACAAACGTCACACCTTTTTATCTTTAAATCAGGTAATAATTCAACCCGTGCTCAACAAACCGAGTGATGAGAAACTTGTCCCATCATGTCCGATGTGATTATTAGGTATTCATCCGCTTACTCTACAACATAAGTGTCAAACTCAAGGCCCGGGGGCCAAATGCGGCCCGCCAAGCCACTCTGTGTGGCCCGCGGGAGCTTAAAAAATGTTCCGTATAGTCCATACAGCAGAGTTTCTTAACCTAAGAAACTAAAAGTTTTTTATTATTACACAGCAATGAACAGTATTTGTATAATGAATAAATGAATAAATAATAAGTGACCTATGGACTGGTATTGGTCCACGGACCGGGGGTTTGCTGACCCCTGATCTATAGAGTCTTCCAATTACAACCGGCCCTTCAAGAGGAACTGTACTGCCGATGTGGCCCCCTGGTGGAAATGAGTTTGACACCCCTGTTCTACAGTATTGTTTCCAAAAGACTGGGTCGTGACCCTCAGGTGGGTCGCAAGATTTTCTTTTTTTTTTTGGGGTCGTCTTGCATCATGTTTCCCAGGAGTTTATGACTGACCTGGGTCGCGAAGGTATGGGTTCCCAGAAAAAAAAAAGTTTGGTAAACTGATCTAAAAGATACAAAGTACAGAAATACCCACAACTGTTTTTTTTCCCTTCATGTCTTCACTGGGAGACTGACCTCAGCTCTTTCAGAAACGAAATAAAACTGCCCTTGCCCATTGTTGCCATGCTTCTTCAGCCCGCGCTGACCGTGGTTCAATCAGGCATGAAAGCAAACGCGGATGCATAACCACAACAGGTGGTGTTGATTTAAGGGAGTTCTGCCTTCCCGTGTGCTGGAACTGAACCCAATACATGACAAAGGCAGATCAAAGTGGACTTGGTCGCGTTGCTTCAAAAAATCCTCATCAAACCGGTCGACTCTGACTCTCTCTCTCTCTCTCTCTCTCTGATGAGCACTGGTTGCCTCTCTCGGGGCGTCCGTACCCCCCCTCCCCTTCACCCCCCCCGCCCATAAAGAAGAAGTGCTCACAGATGCTCTGCAGCAACAGAATTAACACAAATTGACATTTCCCCTAACAGCTCTTCAGCGACTCTGCAGAGGAATGACTTACACTTTGCTTGTTGCAAACATTTGGGCCAAGGTTCAAATATAAAAAAGAGCAGAGCATGTCACTGAGGATACACCCATGTGAGGGAAAACACGCGATATTCTACAAACAACATGGAAACACACACCGCACACATGCCCTAAAGGCTCGGTACTCACATAAAGTCCTGCGTGCCGGTCTCCAAAGAAGGGAAAAGCAACAGAAATGTCCACAAGCCCCGAGCCGCCGTCGTCCTGAGCGTTGGTCTGGGAGTCCCCTTTGTCCTGACCAAAGGGGTAGAAGTCCTTCAGGGACACAGCGGGGTGCACCCCAGGCGGCAGGTCCAGGGAGAGCAAAGTGCAGAGGCAGGTCAGCAGGGCTCGCAGCACCAACACCATGGCCTCAGCCACACAAAGATGGAGCTGACAGCAGGCACCAGAAGGAGGGAGGGAGAAGCACACACACGCACACACACACACACACACACACAGAAACACACACACACACACCTGAGGCACCGAGAGCTTCTCTCTTTTTTTTTTTTTCAAACGGGACAAGACTGTTTCCTCCTCTCAACCGGTGTGAATCCTCCCCTGACTTCTCTCTTCTGACTCTCTCCCTCTCTGTCTGACTCTCTCTCCCCTCTAACTCCTTCAGTAGTGAAGTGGGCTTCCAGTGTGAGACTGGGGAATGCTGTAGATTCCTTGCATTCTGCTTGCTGCTGGGCACTGCATGAGCTCTACACTCCGTGTCTCTGAAATGAAACGAGTGAAGAAATGAAAGAGGCAGGCAGCGTGATTCAGCTGAGAAGCGCTTTTTTTTTTTTTTCTCTCTTTTTTTTTTTTTCAAAAACAATCCAGTGATTTGGTCCCTGATGGTCAGCTTAGAAATATCCTCAATAAAAGCTCTATTCTGCCTGCCAAAGGAGTTCTTTCAGTTTTGGCCCCACCTCCCCCACAGGGATTCACTACCTTGCATAATTAGCTGCTTGCGGCCAATAGCTGAAAAGAGGCCGGTAACTGGATAACCACTGGGTGGATCTATGATAATCAAAGGGCTGTTTTAAAGAAACTGACAAGAGTTTTTCTCCCACCGTGCAGAGAAGCCGAGACACGCAAGGTGAGATAGCGAGAGGTCACACGTGAACACTGCGGAAAGTGTGCCAAAAGTATGGTTAAAAAAAAAAGAAAAAGAAAGAAAAAAAACTGACATGAAAGGGTAAAGGATTAAAGCTACTTTCAATCGCACTGAATGAAAAACATTTGTTGTTTCTAACTTTCTAACTAGCGAAGGGGAGATTAAAGATCTGCGGGGGGACACACGAAGGACTGACAGCTGTGAGAAGAAAAACGCCGAAGATGAAGCTGGTTATAGAGAGCGAAGGTCATTTTCTCACCCACAACACTGCATTCACAAAGGCTTTTTATGGTGTGAGCCAAACACAGAGGTTCAGTTCACAGAAAACGACCACCTTTAAATTCGTCTAAGTCATTTCTTTTTATTAACACACGTCACCCAAGTCTATCTATCTATCAATCCAATCAAATACGACGACAAAATCTATCAGTTTCAGAGAGGATTCCACACCACAAGTCAAACCAAACACCGGGAAAAATCAGCCAGAAACTAAGAGTGCGAGAATAAATATCAAAACCTGATTGCGGAATTTAATACTTATTTTTTTATGATAAATGTGTATACTAACAACAACAACAACAGAAGAAGAAGAAGAAGAAAAAAAAAACGACACGGCACAAACAGTTAAACATGGACTGCAGCGGGGCTGTAGGAAATCCGTACAACTATTTGGCACATCCAGTCCGCGTATAAACAAAACACTCATTGTTTGTTGTTGTTGACTTTTCCCGCAGATTAATGTAAGCCGTCGAGCACATGTGCGCGGGTGGGAGTGAGCCCAGTGGGAGCGTGCTTCCAAATGCGCTGGTTGCCTGTAACATAACGTTGTCGGGGAGCTGCCAGAGGGAAGAGTGAGCGAGAAGGCCAGAGGTGCTACATACTTCACTGCAGCGTCTCTGCCTAAACACTGCGCTGCAGCATCTGGTTGATATACTGGTGCCGTCTCCTTGTCTCCTGATCCAGTTCCTCCCTCAGAGTTAACACCTGGTCACAAACAAAGGACAAATACAACGGGTTTGACATAGAAGGTAGAAGGTATCTGGAACAACATAAAAGACAGACCAACGGTTGTTCAGACCTGCTCAGCTTCAGTGTTTCCAAAGCAGCACTTTATTTAAGGAGGTACTGTTAAAGCAGGGGTGCCCAACATAGGGCCCGGGGGCCAAAATCGGCCCGCTAGTGGGTTAAATCCGGCCCACTTCAGAAATTTCGAAAAAATGCACAATAATTCATGTTGGTGATGTTTTGTCAAATTATATTTCATTGGGTATTTATATTTTCTAATATACTTGTACTTGCTTTGAAAACAAAGGGGAAAAACATTGCCGATATGTTGTGTATAGGTAGTTATGTTATTATTGTACTGGTCTGGTTCACTTGACACCTATTCAAACTGTATGTGGCCCTAGAAAGCAAGTCCGGCCCACTTGACACCTTTTCAAACTGTATGTGGCCCTAGAAAGCAAAATGTTTATTTGTGGGGAGTACTGTTACATTGTCGTTGTTACAAACTAGGGACGTCCGATATTAACTTTTTGCCGATATCCGATATGCCGATTTTGTCCAAACTCCTTTTTTCGGAGAAGCTTGGTTGCGAGCAATAAAGTGAGTTTAGAACGACTTACTGCAATTGTGTTTCAATAAAAGTTCTTCATTACAGACATTATCAGTAAATTTAAGGGAGATGGAGATGCAACCACGAAACACTGTAGGTGGAGGACGCCATAAACCGAGGACTTCCTGTATATTCAGAACAGTAGGTGTAGATTTGATTTGATTTGGAACGAGAGTTACTTGTTCCTCGAGGCATTTCACCCTCTGACGATGGGCCCTCTCCCTGGCCTCCAGCGCTTCTTCTGCTTGCAGCTGGCTGTCCCGCAAACGCTCCGTCTCCAAATCAAGCTCGTGGTGATGGCGGGCTGTCACTTCCAGTAAGGACTGAGTGTGAGAACGCTCCAACTTTGAAACGTAGTCCTGAAACGAATTAATAAAAACTGAAATGAAATGTTCGCAGTTGTTCTTAAATCACCAAAATAATATGTCACCCCAGTTAACATGAACCACGTCTGTAATGTTATGTACAGGTGGGTAAGAAACGACCTAAGGTAGTAATTAAAAAGTAATACTCCTTAAATCCAGATGGGTCACTGGTAGGCTATGTTTTTGATCGTTTCTGCAGCAATGTCGCCCTCTACCTTTAGGTTCTTTTTTTGACTTTCAGGTAAATGCGAGTCCTCTGTGAGAGCAAACTAGCCATTAAAAATACACAATAAAAATTGGGTTTTTATTATCGGAGGGCCAATAATAACTGTTGGCCAATATTATCGAACATCCCTAAGTCTTTTGTACTTAGCTTCCAAATCACCTCTGATTTTGAATATGTGTATCCTATCATTATAAGTTGTTGATTTATCAGCTAATTGGACAAAATAATAAAATATAATTATATAATCAAATATAGTTATAGACTATAGCAATACTTACCACTACTCATATTAGTATAGGATGGATATATCATTATATCCTTTCAATTGAAATGCACTAATGGGTAAATGGGTTCTGCTTATGTTTTTTTTTTCAAGTTGGCTTTGTTATTTATTTTTATTTTTTTACTATTATTTTTATTGATTTTATCATTGATTTTTTATTGATTTTTTATTGATTTTATCATTACTGATCTGGAAAGTGCACTGTCAGTTTGAATGTTCTTTTGGCTTAAAATATCCTTCTGTTAATGAAGGAAAATAAAACTGTCTGGAAGAGTTTTACTGCCGGGTGTCCTCGCTGTGGTTTGGGTTGAGGGCGCAACTACTACACCAAGCATGTGACAAAAATTGGTTTATAAAAAAAAAAAATGTAGCTGTCATTAACCTATCATTGACCTCTCCATTCTCCAACAGTGCTCCTTGTTCCTGTGACCAAAAATTAAAAACGTAGAGTGTCACCTGCAGAGTCTGCTGCTCATTGAGTTTGTCAGCCAGCTCCTGCTCCAGACTCTGTACCATTTGTCCCAATCGCTCCTTCTCTTTGGCTGCGGATGTTGCCTCTTCCTCTTTTCTCAGCCTTTCCATCTCTACCTGACAACAACAGGGTCACATAGTGTTAAATACTTCACCGTGATGCATCTCTATAGGCCAGGAATAGATACAGAAGACAGTGATCCTGCAGTGACTACACAGTGGCCTGTGTTGATATTGATGACTGTTTTTTGTACTGTCTGAATTTTATGTTAAATTTATTGTTGTTAATATTAAGGAAAATGTTGTTTTGCTGTATTTGGGAATGTTGATTTATCTTGATTAATCACGGTTAATTGTTATTATTAATGATTAATCATTATTATTTACATCGTTAATCGTTTATTATTTACATGAATAATTGACAGCTGCCCCGATCAATCAGATTAAAAAACATTTCTATTGTTTGATAGTATTTATATTTCAGTGTTCTTCTGTGGTCCTGTCGAATCAAACACATACAGTACAGAAATGTTTGGAATGTTTGGAAAAATAGGGTCAGTTTTGTCTTATATAGCTTTAATTTTAGGTATTTAGGTTTAACTTTTAGGTTTTTGTAAAAGCTAACATTAATGAGTGGGTAAACTTTTTGACTCTTGGGCCACAACTGTCCTAAAATTGAACAGGGGTGGGTAAGGAGCAGATAGATGGAGCGTTCGTGTATCATTTTCTACACCATCTACTGGGTATTGCAGGGAAAAGGCAGAAG